GGCTGGTCTCAAACTCACAGAGATCTGTCTGCCTCTGCCTCCAGAGTGCTGAGATTAAAGGTGTGTGCAGTCTCCACCGCCACCACCACCCAGCTGGACAAGAATACTTTTTTTGGGGGGGGAGGGAGAAGGAACTGGGAGTAATATGTGTAAAAAGGTAAATAAATAATTCTTCCACACCACCCCCAGAAGAATTCTTTTTTTAAACATTTTATTTATTATGTATATAATCTTCTGCCTGCATGCCAGCAGAAGGCACCAGATCTCATTCAAGGTGGTTGTGAGCCACCATCTGGTTACTGGGAATTGAACTCAGGACCTCTGGAAGAACAGTTAGTGCTCTTAACCTCTGAGCCATCTCTCCAGCCCCCCCCCACACACACACAGAAGAATTCTTAAAAGGCAACATCATTAGAAAGTCAGTTCTGGTCCTCATCAAGAACACACCTGAAGCCGGGCATTGGTGGCGCACGCCTTTAATCCCAGCACTCGGGAGGCAGAGGCAGAGGCAGGCGGATCTCTGTGAGTTCGAGGCCAGCCTGGTCTACAAAGTGAGTTCCAGGACAGCCTCCAAAGCCACAGAGAAACCCTGTCTCGAAAAACCAAAAAAAAAAAAAAAAAAAAAAACACCTGGTGGCAACATTGATGACAGGGCATGACTTTAATCCCAGCAGAGGGATCTCTATGAGTTTGAGGCCAGCCTGATCTACAGAATGAATTCCAGGAAAGTCAGGGCTACACAGAGAAATCCAGTCTCAAAACCAAAAACACTAACAAAAACAAGAGACTGGCTCTGACACATGGCTAACAGAGCTAAGAACTGGCACCAGACACATCGACATGCGAATGCATTCTCTGTCTCTATGTAAGCCTCACTCTAAGGCAGCATTCCCAGGTATTTTTTTACCTCTAATATTTTCTTACCTTGAGTAAGTTTTTCCCAGTTCCAAACCTTATCACATCCAAGCTGATTATTATGGGAATTAAAAGAAAGTCAAGGGTCCAAAGCTTCCTTCACTTTCTCAAGGGATCACCTTACACTTCAGACACGATGAGACTAAAGTATCCCGTTAAAGAGAACATAAGGCCACTTTTCTTACATTATAGGCTGCAAGTCACAGAGATAACAGAATGGATATAAACACCCTGCTAAAGAAAACTCAATGAGTCACTTCAACTTCAGCAGCACTGCCTCTGTAAGTTAAAGCTTTGCAGAATTGTTTCCTTGAAGAAGATAAACCTGAGTTTCCAAGCCATTTAAATGATACCTGGAGACAAATGTAGACACACCCATTAGTAGTTCTATACATAGCCTCTTGCCTCCTGGGAAAAATTCTTTAGGGAACCCTAACTACTGTACCATGTAAATTACTGACTGTATAACCAGACAAGAAAACAGGTATGTTAGATATGGAGGTGTAAGTCAGCTGGCAAAGTGTTTTTGCCCACATGCAGGAAGCCCTCTACACTGCAAAATTAATATAGTAAGGAAAAGCTACAATCCCAGCCTTTCGTAGTCTAAGGCAGAAGGATCAGGAATTCGAGGCCAGAGGTGAGGAAATGTCTCACTGGGTAAATTACTTGTTGCACAAGCACAAAGATGTGAATCCGGGAGCCATGCATGAAGCACACCTCTGATCCCAGCACTTGGAGGCAGAAGCAGAGGCACTGAGTTCCACCAGGCCATCCTGGTCTACATATTGAGCAAGTACCAGGACAGACAGAATCACACACCAGACACTGTCTCAAAAAACAAACAAAACAAAACAAAAAACCAAAAATAAAGTCAAACAACAACAAACTTGAATTTGGGTCCCCAATATCCACTTAAAAGACAGATGCAGTAGGGAATGTCTATACCTCAGTGCCAGGCAGCAGAAGCAGGCAGATCTAGGAGGGCAGGTGGAAGCTTGCTTTGCTGGAATCAGCAAGGTCCAATATGAAATCCTGACTCAAATACCCTATGCCCTCTTCTGGTCTTCAGGGATACTAGGCACACACACATTGTCGACATATACACACACAGAGAGAGACAAAACATTTATACACAGAAAACTAAAAAAAAAAAACTTTTAAGGTAAAGAAGGACTGGAGAAGCTGGGTGGTAGTGTCACACGCCTTTAATCCCAGCACTTGGGAGGCAGAGGCAGGTGTATCTCTGTGAGTTCCAGGACAGCCAAGGTGGGGGGGGGGGACGGACAAGTTAGGTAAGACACAGTTGGAGGGTCCTCTTCCCTTCTCAATTTAAACATGATTCAGACTTTAGGGATAAAAGCATAATAAATGAAAAACCTCAGAGCCAACACAGGACTATTGTAAATTCCTTTTTGTAGATAATTCTATACTAAGACTGCTTGAAATACTATGTGTATAAAATATGTATTTGTGCATGCATGTGTCTACATATGCATATTTGGAGACAAAAAGATCATTTCCATAAATGAGCTGTTTCCTGTCCCATCATTTCTATTTTTCTTGTTTTGAGACAAGGTTTCATGTAGCCCAAGTTAGTCTTGAAGTTCTAATCTTTTCTTTTCCTCTATCTCCCTAGAGCCCCTTGAATGCTAGGCAAGCACTCCACCAACTAAACTACATCCCAAGCCCTCTATTTTCCATAGTACTTGACTCTCACCCCAATTGTTCCTGACTGGCTAGAGATAAAATAAATATCAAGAAAAATTACTCATGAAGCTAAGACAGTGACACAGCTGTGTGACATCAATTAGATCTTCAAAACTGAACTCCAAATACAACAACCATTGGAAATTAAACCTGGATTATTAAAATAAATGAATTGTTTTGGTTAATATTTGTAACAAAATGTTGTCAAGAAATTGGTATTCATCTCTGCTCGAATAGCTTTCTGCTAATCAACAGATAAAACTGGTCCCAAACATCTTTGATTAAAAATATACATTAAGTTGGGTGGTGGTGGCACATGTCTTTATTTTCAGCACTTGGGAGGAAGAGGCAGGTCAATTTGAGACCAACCTGATCTACAGAGTAAGTTCCAGGACAGCCAGGGCTACACAGAGAAACCCTATCTCAGAGAAAAAAAAAGAAATTAAATGAAAATACAATTAAAGATGCCAAGACAGGGATGGTGGCTGTTATCCCAGCACAGGAATCAGAGGCAGGTTTGATTGCTGTAAATTCTAGGCCAACCTGGCTACCAGGCCAACCAGAACCAGGACTACACAAAACTGTAACAAAGATACCATGAACACTGCTATCCAACAAGCACACTCTTTGTTCCTAGTATTGTAATTTCTGGGTATTTTACCTTCAACTGATAACTCTCCTATTTAAAATATGTAAATAAGTTTCTAATTTGAGCTGTAGAGACCCATTTATAGCAGAAAGGATCTAAGTCTAGTGCAGTGGTGCACACCTGTTAATTCCCAGTTTAGAGAAGCTAAAGCTGGATGGTGAGAAGTCCACGCCAGCCTGAGCCTGAACTATAGAGTTCCTCTTATAAATAAGTTACAAAAGCAAAGAAACTCAAAAAATAAACATCATCTAAATTGCAATGCTACAGCCAGTCAATTAATAAAGACTGAGGAGGAGAACCCTTAAAAAGGCAAACAAATTAAACTTTTTTTTTTTTTAAGATACAGCTTTGGGCCGGGCAGTGGTGGCGCACACCTTTAATCCCAGCACTCGGGAGGCAGAGGCAGGCGGATCTCTGTGAGTTCAAGACCAGCCTGGTCTACTGAGCAAGTTCCAGGACAGCCTCCAAAGCCACAGAGAAACCCTGTCTCAAAAAACCAAAAAACCAAAAAAAAAAAACAAAAACAAAAACAAAACCCAGCTTTGGTTTTCTGTGATAGAAATAAACCCCTTTTAGATCTTTTAGATTCATGAATATCACTAACCTCTGAATATAAAAGAGACAGCAAAAGGAGAAGCTGGTAAAGCCTTCAAGTTCAGCGAGAAGGTAAGTTTTCCCCCTCTGGCTCTTTCTCCTATACGGTTGAGCCAATACACAAAGCCTGTGACAGTGTTTTCAGGGAAAAGACTTTACCAGAGTTAATCGCTAACAATTGTCAGGATTGCTTCTAACTAACAAGGCCGGAGGGCTGCTCCCTCTTTCCACCAGGATCTCCTCCTCTAAGATTACTGATGCTGATTAAGACCGACCCCAAGAGGAGAATAAGGGCAGCATTAATGAACGCAGAGTCTTTATAGTTTAAAAAACCCACACCTGGGTTTTATCTTTTCCCCGCCGGTTTACTGCATCAGATACCACAAGAAAAGGGCTCTTTTTTCCATCTGTGCAATTTACTACGCGGCCGACATATACACATCGTTAAAAAGAGGTAAGTGTCCTGAATCTCCTTAGCCAGCTGCAGGGGTGAGATGAGACAGAAAGGATGAAAGGTAGAACTGGAAAATAAAAACAAGGCGATAAGACGCAGAGACCACACTTCCCATTCCATACCCCCTTTCTTACAAGGTTAAGTCGGCTAAAGTCCGGGTGGCGTTAGGAAAAACACACACACCTTGCGCCCTGGGCAGGAGGTGAGGTTGGCTCTGCAGCGCTCAGTGGGGCTCCGGGCTCCGCCCCGCCGGCCTGGGACAGTGCAGCCCTGCTCGCCCCAGTCCAGGGAGGACAGAAGAGAGGGGGCTTCTAAGCGGCTCTGGCAGGGGGAAGGGGAGACGGCTACTTCGGGTGCCAGGCTCACCGAGAGCGCTGCACTCCGCGGTGCGCCGACACCCCCTTCCCCAGCCGGCTCCGGCTCGCTCCCCTCCGCCGCCGGAAGCCAGCCCCGCCTCCTCAACTCCATCCCTGCTCTTTGCAAGCTCCCTCCTGTCTACACAGCCAATCGTCAGGCAAGGAACCAACAGAGCGACTTGCCACACAGCCAACTGGGGAGGCCCACTGGGAGGTCAGTCGCCGGGGATAGGCCAGCTACCCGCGGCCTCGGCCCCGGCCGGGCTCCTCTTTGTTAGCGCTGCCCCCATCTCTCCGGGTGCCCACACGGAAACTGAGAACCTACCTTCCAGCAGCTGGTCCAGGTGATGCCGCGCCTGCCACCTCTCCTGCTCCTCCACCCACTCTCGTACTGGTACTTAAGAGTGACCAGCTCTCAGGTGTTTCCTGCCAGAACGCTTCAGACTTCCAAACCAATTAGCCACCGGAAGACACCCAACCACAAAAGGGATGCTCTCCAGGCCCTCTTTGCTTTACCTTCCTTTACTTAGCCTAATCAACTGCATTCCGTCAAAACGGTGGGTTTAGGTATTAAATCAACTACATTAATTTTACCTGTTGGAAATTCCTGCTTTCCCAGAAGGAAACGGGGGGGGGACACCTGGGGGGGAGTACAGAGAAAGTATGTGCCTGGAAGTTGGTGGAGTTAGGGAGGAGGGAAATCTGCAAAAATAAAGTTGGCTTAAACCTGTATCAGATTCAAAGCATCTACATCCAATAATCCTGAGATGACAACTTTCTGATCAGATTTCAGTATAATTAAGATACAGAAGAACCAGGTCTCCTTAAAACTACACACATAATATCTCTTTAAACAACACTGACACTGTACAACTGGAAGTCTATACTCAAACTTTAATCACTAATGCCAGTGTTAGGGACCCATTTGTGGCTGGGATGGAATATGCTAAAAATAGTACAGTATAATTTCTTGGGCAGTAGTGGAGCAATATAGATGGAGCTGATTTAACAAAAACAAAAGGGGTTCCTGAGGATGTGCTTGACTGATAAGATGCTTGTCTATGATGCAATAAGCCCTGTCCTAGACAGCCAAAGGGCTTCATATGAAGAAGTCTTTCTCAAAAAGAGGAAGGGCTGAACAGATGGCTCAGTTGTTAGGAGAACTGACTGCTCTTCCAGAGGACTCAGGTTCAATCCCCAAACCCACATGATGGATCGAAACCATCTGTAACTCCAGTTCCAGGGGATCCAGAGCCCTCTTCTGGCCTCTGAGACTCCAGGCATATCCCACGCAGAGACATACATATATGCAGCCAAAACACCCATACACATAAAAAGTAAAAATTAAAAAAAAACTCAGATATAATGGTGCACGCCTTTAATCCCAGCACTCAGAGAGCAGAGGCAGGTGGATCTATCTCTGTTAGAGAACAGCCTGGCCTACATAGCCAGTTCCAACACAGCCAGGGCTACAAAATAAAGACCATGTCTCAAAAATAATTAAATAAATCCAAAAATAGTAAGGTTTAGGAATGCTACTTGGTGGTAGAACATCTGGCTAGCATGCAAACGTATATATATTCTTATAAAATACAGTGCTCAGTAGACTGGAATAAAAGAAAACAGTAACAAATGGTATAACCTGACAAGAAACTAGCTTGTGTTTCTGTCTGTGTGTATATGGAGGCTAGAGGGTGACAGGTGTCATTCCTCCATTACTATATTTTGTGTATGTGCCTGAGTATATGTATGAGCACCAAGTACCCTTGGAGGTCAGAAAAAGGCACCAGATTCCCTGGAACTGGAGTTGCAGGCACTTGTGGGCCACCTAATGTAAGTGTTTGCCTGCATGTATGTAACGCACCATGTGTGTGGCTGGTGAGGAGGCCAGAAGACTGTCAGATCATCTGAACTGGAGCTACAGACCATTATGAGCTGCTATGTGGGTGCTGAGACCCAAACCTGGGTGCTCCGTAAGAGTAACAGGTGCTCTTAGCTGCTGTGCCATCTCTTCAGCACTTGCTTTGTTTTCTGAAACAGGGTTTCTCACTGAAGCTGAGGCTCACCGATCCAGCTACTCTGCCAGCCAATGAACTTCACATACCCACCTGTCTTTACCCCATTGCCCAAGCTCTGCTGTTGCTGGAACTACTTTTTAGGTGAATTCTGGGAATTCTAGATCATGCCCTCATGCCTGCTGGGAGGGCAACTTACCAACTGAGTCATCCTCCATCACAGACACATCTAGAAGGACATGTAAAATCCATGAACTATACCTTTCTTTGGGAATCATTTTGTTCACTCATTCACACACATAAAAAAATTACTGTGCTCCATAATACCAAAAACAAAACAAAACAAACAATGCTACTAAACCCCTGTAATAACAATACAAATGAGGCCCAGGGAAATGGCTCAGTGGGTAAAAGTGCTTGCCAACAAGCCTTAATGACCTGAATTTGACCCCAGTATACACATGGTAGGAGAGAACCAACTCCAGCAACTTGTCTTTTGGCCTCCACACATGCAGCAGTTGTGCATGTGTATGCCCTCCCAATAAATAAATAAGGGGTGCTCTTTTGTTTTATTGTGTTTTTGAGACAGGATCTCATATGCTGACATGGCTGGCCTGCAACTTATAGACCAGGCTGGCCTGGAGCGCACAAAGATTCGCCTGCCTCTGTCTCCTCAGTATCCAGGAACATTTCTTTTCTTTCTTTACTTTTTTTAAAATTTATTATTATTTTATGTACATTGGTGTTGTGCCTATATGTCTGAGAGTATTGGGTTCCCTAGAACTGGAGTTATAGGCAGTTGTGAGTCACCATGTGGGTGCTGGAAATGGAACCCAGGTCCTACAGAAGAGCAGTCAATGCTCTTAACTGCTGAGCCATCTCTCCAGCAATCCCAGCAAAATTTCTCTAGTAATAATAGTAAATTGGGTGTGTGGTTCATGACTATAATCCCAGCACTGTGGAGGCTCAAGTAGAATTTCCATGAGTTTCCCAAGTCATAAAACGAGTACTCTAACGATTAGCTTACCATAGACACTTTTGTTAACTGTTTTTGGTTTTTGTCTAAGAGACATGGTTTCACTATGTATCCCTGGCTGGCCTTGAACTCACAGAAATCCTCCTGTCTCTAACTCCCAAGCACTGTGGTGGCACAACACCTTTAATCCCAGCACTCAGAAAGCAGATGCAGGCTGATCCCTGAGTTTGAGGCCAGCCTGGTCTACAGAGTGAGTTTCAGAAAAGACAGGTCTATCTGCCTTGTCTCAAAAATAATAATAAATTTAAAAAAAGAAAGAAAAATCTAACTGAGGAGACATTTGAGTTCAAGGAAAGCCTGGGATTACATTGTGAGTTCCAGGCTGGCATAAGTAAGAAAATGAAACCCTGCCTCAAAACAGAACAAAACAAATAAACAAAAGGTACACCCTAGTTGGCAAATCATTTCTACAACTAAATATTTAAGACTACATGGAAAAGACATTAACCAGAATAAAAGCTTGAAGTCTGATAAGGTGATCAAAAGGAACACTGTGTGGTACAAAGTCCCCTAATCCTCAGAAGGTCCCTACTTGTGTGGTTTAGGACGATTGGGCTGTGTATGTATGGGGTGGGGAGCTGGGGGTAAGTTGTTAGTTAATTGCTCATACTGATGGGGTAGCACATGGTAGAAAAAGAAAAAAGCCAACATCTTAAAAAAGTTTCACACACATACACAAAATGAGACAGCAAACTTGTGAATCAAGCATGATTTGGCATCTTTAAATACAGAGCCAATTTTCTTTAGTGCCAAAGCCAATGGCTTCTCCTGCAGATAAAATGGCACAGTTCCTGAAAAAGCCCTGGACGCTGTTTCCCCACAATCCTATAATCTGTCAGAAGACAGAAAACAAAAAGAAGGCTGTGCCAGCCAGAAAACGCAAATTATAACCAACACCGAGCCAAACTTTATTTCAGACAGAAGGAGCTGTTCTATGTGTCTCTGAAAGAAGAGAAACAAAAGAAGCTTACCAATGCTCCAATAACCAAGGGCAAGCAACTAATTTAACCAAACACCATGTTGAATTAGCATTTGCTGCAAGAGGCTGCCTTCTCACTTCCTATTCATAGCCTAAAAGGGTATTTGCAATGCTTATTAAGAAGTTGATGCCAACAATATACAAAGAATTTTTACATGCCAGGAGAGAATAATGTAAGGAAGAAAAAGAGAAACTATCCAAAGAGCATGAAGTGTTAAGTCATGGAAAAAATAATTAAGGTCAAAGGCTGAGTAAGATCACAGCACTTGAGATAAAAGGGACAGGAGGATCTCAAGTCAAGGTAATCTTGAACTACCAGGGAGTTTGAGGCCAGCCTAGACCAGAGAGACCCTTTTAAAAACATGAGTGGGTGGCCCACCTAGAGACATGGCTCAGTGGTTAAGGATACTTATTCTTGCAAAAGACCAGGGTGTGGTTCTCATCACCACCAATGAAGTTCAACAATCTGAAACTCTAGGGTCTGAGGATCCAACAACCTCTTTTGACCTCTGCACCAGACACACATATGGTATTCGTAAACACATGCAGGCAAAACACTCATACACATAAAAGAAAATAAATATGAAAAGGAAAGCAAGCAAATGTACTTAACAGACTGTTGTAGAGCTCCATGCATGCTAGATACACACTCTACACTGAGTCACATGCTCAATTCTGTTTACCTTTTATTTTGAGACACCCAGGCTGGCCTTATAGTCTAGCCTAGCCTTCAAGGTGGGAAGGTCTTTGCCTTCCAAGTAACTTACAGGTTTAAAGCCAGTAGGCTTGACCATGGTCTCTTTCTAGTCACCAAGCATATGAACACACACACACACACACACACACACACACACACACACACACACACACACACACACAAAATCAAACAGAGCTTGAGTACAGCACCAAGCAAGCAGTTTTTCATTAAAGAAGAAAAAAGCCGCCGGGCGTTGGTGGCGCACGCCTTTAATCCCAGCACTCGGGAGGCAGAGGCAGGCGGATCTCTGTGAGTTTGAGGCCAGCCTGGTCTACAAAGCGAGTTCCAGGACAGCTTCCAAGATAATACAGAGAAACCCTGTCTCGAAAAACCAAAAAAAAAAAAAAAAAAAAAAAGAATCACCTTTCTCAAAATGAACTTAGCCTCTAACAGACATCATGTTGCTAATTTTCACAGCATCCCAATAAAGCACTATTATTTAACATTTAATCACACTTGAACTTGCAAAAGTGTTTTAAAATTATTTTCATTAATAGTCATACCTCACAACCACACACTGTGAGTGACCTAAAGTGGTCTTGTTATCCTTATTTGACAGCTGAGAAAACTAATGCACTCTAAGGCCAAGGTCAAGACTGTCTACTTTCCCAAGGCCAGGGACCTAACCCTTACAGTCAAATTCATTTGCGTATTAGTTGTATTGCTCATAGCTCCAATGACAGATTTTTGTTTTTTTCAAGACAGGGTCTCTCTGGATAACAGTCCTGGCTATCCTAGACCAGAATGACCTGGAACTCACAGAG